GTGTATTTTCCATATCAATATTTTAAGGGCTTGCTTGATTGGGCAGATTATAGTATAGGATTGAAATTATTATTTCAAGAGACTCACATTTCATTGTTTGGCTGCAAATTTTATTATTCAAATTAGATTCCAATAGTCATTCTATCCAACAAAATTGATGAATTTTTTAATCCTACAACTAATAATGCAAAACATACATGTAATTGAGATTAAATATTTTTATATTTGTTACAAAATAAAGGTGGACAAGAGGAAATCATGTATCTCACTAATATAGCTAGATAACCAATCCAATGCTAATCTCATGGATTATTAATTCTCTCACTATTAATTTTGTTGATCAAAATACCAAAAAGACAAAATTATCCTTGGTTTTTTTAGAAATGGTTTTAGGAAAAACATATTTTTTTCCTAACTTTGGACTATATTTGAGGTGCCCATGCACTAAATTTGGCGGGTCCATGTGGCAATGCGTTTTTCACTACATTGAGATTCACGTCGTATATTTGACTGCTCAAAATCATTATCGGGTGAATAGAAAATCGATGCCAAAGTGTGCTCCATGAAAATGGTGGCTTGGTGGGTTTCCCATAAAGTATGAGGAAAAATTGTCCCACATCGCTTGGCTAGGCAAGTATTGTGTGGGTTTATAAACCTTGAGCTCAGATCTTGGGGTGGATCCCAAAGGGTGCCTAAGTTTCGTGGAGTGGGAGGTTAGGGAAAAATACACTACACCTATTGAACTCAAAAACAAGCACACACGTGCACTACCACCACTTGCTCTAATTGGACTTGGGCGGCCCAATATTTGTCTTCTTAGGCCAGAAGGTTTTGAATTTTATTTTTATATTTTATTTTTTGAAAATTAAATTCTTAATGTTAGGAATTTAAATTTCTATTCAAAATTATTTATGAATTGACCCCAACGTTTCTGAACGTAGACAGTTTGGTCCGAACAGCCACACCCCTTAGCTTTTCTCTCTAACCCGAACAAGTTCATGGCTTTTTATTTCTACCCGAACAGTCACCATTTATGCCATAAATAGGTAGTCCTCCATTTGTTCCAGGCATTCAATTTCCGCGCCTTTTTCTTCTGTTTCTTCTTCCTGCATATTTCTGCATTTGTTTTCTTTGAGAGAAAGTATAAACATAGAGCGTGTTTGCTAGACAATCAATTTGTAGTGTTGCTACTGTTTGTCATAAATTATTTTATCTTGAGAGATAAACGTTCAAATTCTGAAAGTATTGTAGGGAGGACGAATCTATTTTTAGAAAATAATGTTGAACATTAGACTTGATCCTTTCAGAAAATTTATTTCTACAATTATTTTTCCTGTTTTCTGATTTTTATTAAATCTACATTTCTACTTTTTTTTTCCAGATTTTATTTTGTTTTAGTAATAAAATAGAATATGTTATTTTAATTTAATTGATTATTTATTTTGTTTTGGTGTTTAGTACTCAAACATAATTTTATCTTCAAATTTTATATTTCAAATACAGTGAAAATTGCCTAATAGGTTTCCCTTGCATTAAAGATGAAACTTTTTTATGACATTAATTCCTCATGAAAAGTACAACTCCTGATTTCTTGTGTTTTGATAATCGGGTGTCCAGATCAGTTTATGCGCACTTCGATTAATCTAGAGACCCACAAAAAACACTCTCTCCACGTGAATCTAACAAAGGCCGCAAGCCTGGCCCCAAGAAGTGAATTGCTCCTAATGAAAATTGAATCTGAAAATTGAAAGAAGCACACCCCTAAATTTTAAATTGCATCCATTAGGCCAATCCTTTGGGACTAACAACTCCTGATCTCCTTATTTACAGGAAATGGACAGGGATATCAACCAAGTTAGTGAAGCTTCGCCCCCTTGGTTATTTTATTTGATGCACCGATGAACTATTCACTAGTTTCATATTTTTTTTCATTACTAATTTTGTTGATTTCTTATATGCTCATTTTTGTCCTATTTGTGGGAATGATGCAATATATCATATATCATTAAAGAAATTTTTTTCAAAAGAAGCTAAACTAATTGGTTTTAGTTTTTAAAATTTACTTTTCAAAAAATTTTACTTTTTCATTTTTCATTTCCGTATTTTGTTTTTGTTTTCACTAAATTTTTTTAATATTTTAAGCAATTTTTTTTTTAATTTTTTAGACACATCTAACATAAATACACTTAAAAATATAATATTTGTGAATTTTTTTAAAAAAAATTCTCTAAATACAAAAAAATATTAAAAAAATATGAAAATTCAATATATTTTTCATATTTTTGTGTATTTATTAATTTTTTTTACAAATATTTTACCATTTAGATACATCTAAGTAAGGTGCATCTAAAAAAAGTAAAAAAAAATGCTGAAAATTTTAAAAATATTCAATCAAAAAAAAAACAAAAAAATAATAATTTTTTAAAAAATTGAATTTAAAAAATTAAAACTAAACACACTAAATATTATTCGAATGCATTTTGAAAAGTGCCTCGTTAAAAATTAAAACTAAATTTTAACTTATTAGTTTGACTAATTGTTGTTAGAGATGCACTTTAACAAAGATTCCCACTTAAAGTATCCGGTGGTACTACATATATCAATTAATATATTAACTAATGTATCAATACTAATTATAACATTATTAATAACTCCACTCATTAATGACATTACAAATATCAAAACTTTTTAAATTATATTATATTATCAATTAATACATTAATTAGTACATATAATATTATTCTAAAATATGTCCCCCACGTCTGAATAAATAAATAAATGTCGAATTCCATCGCATAATCCAAAAAGAAATGCTACGAATATTTTTTTTTTCTTTTTTTGAACACCCAAAGAAATACTACTGCATGTTATTGACTTTTTATAATGATTTTGTATCACTAAATTATGGGTTTTCCTACGGTGTGTACCTTAATTATAAAATATATAATTTTTTCTTAAAATTTTGTAATATCAATACCAACATGTTTAATTTTATCATAAATTAATGTAATAAAAAATATCAAAACCAAATCATAAATTTTTACAATATCAGTCACAAAATTATAAAATTTTTATTATATTAATTTATGGCGTGATTATGCATTTTGTGATAATATTATAAAATTTTGTGATATGATAGCATTTTCCCTAAATTATATGAGCCATTATGATTAAAGTATTAATGTTAGCAATTAATCGGGTAAATTATAAATACACTCTCTGAGGTTTGATTAAAATACGAATCGCCCCCTATGATTTTATGAGAGTAAGGATAAAGCAAATAGTCTAAAGGCAAAATTAAATACAAGGATCTCAAGAACTTACATAATCATGAAAAGCTTGAATAAATTCATCCAGCATAAATGGCCAAAGCCCCAGAACGTCAGCAAAATTTATTAAAAATCTCCAGACCTAAAAATCAATTCACAGGTAATAACATTAGAATGATCACAATACCTCCATAAGCATCACCATTAGATCTAGTCCATATGTTGCTTGAAAAATTGTAGTTCAATCAACATTTAGTCAGTCTTAATTTTTTGTCTTCCTTACATTTTCAACTAGATGATGCAGCTCAAGTCTGTTCCTGCCTCCCCAAAGCTGACTGTGTGAAGTCTAAATCTAAACCAACAGGGCCCAAGAAGCATAATCAATAGGATCAAAGGAACAGTATGACAAATTTTTAGAATTCAAGGTTTCCTCTAATCTTATCATCTCAAAAACTAACCTACCCTGGAAACTACAGACTGATTTGTTACTATTAGCTAAATATGATGCGACTCAAAGGGTGAATCCTCCGCTGTATCAGGTCTTGTCACAGGGTTCCTCTGTTAGTTTCTGTTTATGGCCTTGGTCCTCCATGTAACAAAATAACTTACAAAAAAAATTAATAATAAAAAGAAAAGATAATGGAATACCTTGTATAAGTAATGCCGATGTATTGAGACTTGGACAAGTTTCCTATAGACTTCCATTCTGATGATTGCTAAGATACGCTTCTACCTGCCCTGTTGCTGCCAATATAAGTCCTACAATGCAAAATCACAACTGTTAAGATAGAAGATAGATAGATCATTAGGAAAAAGCTTACACTGGAATAAAAATACAGTTAATCAACTTTTCTTTATGGAATTGTATACAAGGCATCAAATTAAAGCAATCTATGGAATTGTATACAAGGCCTCATGTGAACAACAGCAAATGAAGCCAAAGCGAAAATATTGGCTTGAAAAACACAAACATGAGTGAGAAGCTAATGTTGTGAAAACCTAACACTTCCTCTGCAAGGTTCATTCAATTAGAGTGAATGATCTTTTCTGAATGTATATATAATAAAATGAACATTTCATAAACTGCATACAAACATTTGAATACCTCCCACCTTGGTATGTTTAAGATGGAATTGTTTAGATCTGGGTTAAAATAGTCAGTCAATGAGATGCATAAATTCATTTAACCACTAAATACCAAGAAACGGAGCTGAAGGCCTCCCGGGCCGTGACTTAAATTCTGGTAGCAAAATAAATTTCAAGCCCACTAAAAGGAAAGATCACACATTTCTGAAGTGTACCAGCAGGTTCTACAAACATCTACTGCAATTAAATAGACAACACCCTTTGAACACTAGTTACCTCACTTAAGGTCTTAACAGATATATTTATTTACATACATGCAAGTAACCACATTTATCACTGAAAACAAGAAAAATAACAAACATGTTTTCCCCAATAGTAACATATAATTGAAGACAAAAGCAAATAAATATAAATTGAAGAAAAATAACAAACATGTTTTCCCCAATAGTAACATATAATTGAAGACAGATATATTTATTCACAATGGTAAATGTAAACATGGCTAATAAGAGACCCAAAATTAAATGTAAACATAAACAAAAGCATTTATATTGAAGTGATCCAAAGTACACAATTATGCCTCAAACTACTACTAACCAACACTAAGCATAAACAATGGTAAAAAATCCTACTACAAAAACCTTTATTGAAAACATCAGCCAACTGATCTCTTGATTTCACAAAAAGGAATTGAAATCAATCCTCTATTGTCAGTGTAGCAACCTGCTCACACAAACGGAAAGTTTATTCTAAAGGTGATTCTTCAAGTAACTAGGACTTAGGATGCACTTTCCCGGAAAAAATAAAGAAAAGAATAGAAAATAGCAGTTCACTTACCAACTGAGCAACAACAAAAGCCACCACTAGCAAAAGGCCAGGACGTTCAACGAAAGACCAACTCCTAGAACGTGTCACAAATATTAGGGCCTGACTGATGATACTCACTTGCAAGTATATTGCTGATGCAAGCTTCCTGAAGTCATCATGAGCTGTTGCTTCAAGAGTTGAAACCCCAAATATACGCTGGAAATTACACAAAAGGAGGGGAAAATATGTCTCAAGACCAAGCATAACACTGATAGATCAGTAAAAAGAAGAATCATTCAGACTTCAGTCTAGAAGTAAATAATAAAAATTGCATACAGGAACAGTGAAGACGCCTCAATTTGGAATGCATTTTCAAAATTTCACAAGATCAGGCACACTTCAAAATTTTGGATTTATCAATTACATAATTTTAAGCTTTTCTTTAGGTGTATATCTTGGCAGTTCAATGACTTCCATCCTATCTAATAGTGGTGGAGGAATAGGTTGCACCCTATTTATCAATTACATAGAGCCTAAAATAAAATGCAAATAACAAGCATATGAACATCATACATTCTTGAAAATGTCTCATTAATGAAAACTGTATATCAATATTTAGCAAATCTAAACTACTATGTTAAGCCAGGACCAGGGCTGGTCACCAATTCACAAAATATGAAATCCTTTGGCATATAACCTATCAGGTGTATCCAATCAACTATTTCATGACCCATTTACTATAGTTATAAGTTTTCTTACAGGAAAAAAGTTTGTCTTGTATGCTGCCCAGAAGAAAATGACTGTCATCATGGCCAAGTAACCACCAAGAATGACTCCAGTTACAAAAATTTCTGCCAGCTTCCAGCTATCAGGCTGAGGAGATGGTTTCACCCTATCCTTTGATATTGTCATGATGGTACCTGGCATGCCATGTAGATAGTATGTATTTAGAACCCCACACACACACACAAATCGAGGCTAATGACAAGAAAATGAGAAGAAATATGCATGAATCTACATGTAGAAAAGGTAAGTAAAGTGTGACAAAATACAAACCATCATTGAGGATGGCAATGATCATTGAGGATGGCAATGATCATTGAGGATGGCATAGTTATAAGTTTTTTCTCCATATAGAACTCTACTTATTTTCATATTTAGTAAACT